CAGAGTGAGATCATGTCTCAAAAAAAAAAAAAAAAAAGTTTAACTACTCTTAAAAATGATTACCTTAGCCAATACCTGTTTTGGGTACTTTACACTCAAATATGTTTTAAATGGCTTCCACTAGCACCGATTGATATTGGTATTAATATTTGGAAGGTATATGCATTTCATTGAGATATTTTGAATATAACTGTAAATGAATGATTCACATTCCTGATGTCTGATTTTGTTGAACCAAGCAAAACCCCAAATGAATGATGTATGAATGATGTAATACTCTGTACTTACAGTCAATATGAATTATTTTTATAGAGCTGAGTTCAGTAAAACCAGATTATGAAAGACTTAGTTAAGACTATATAGATTTAATCAGTTCAGATGATATCATCAAGTACTAGCTAGTATCTCCATGCCAGAACATTTTTAGGCTGACAGCTTTGGATGCAGTATTGCCAAAAAGAGAACTGGCAGTGAAAATTTTCTCTTCTTTTTCTATTATAGGTAAAAAGCTTCCTACAACTGGAGAAGTGCACATCTGGGTGAAGGAATGCCTTGATCTACCACTGCTAAGGGGAAGTCATCTAAATTCTTTTGTTAAATGGTAATAGTATTGATAACTCTGTATCAGTTCTATAGCCTGGCCTTTGCTGGTTGTTTCGGTTCTCTATATCTGTAATGCTGACTCATTATTCATAATTTAAATGAATTTACTTGGGATAATGGAAACATGAATTGGAGGAATCTATATCATGAACTCTTAAGGCTTCATTTAGCTTTAAAATCATAAAGTAAGAGGTCAAAGGAAACTAGAGACCTCATACTCAGTATGTAATGTCTTCTAGGGAAAACATCTGTTGTTGAGGGCAATAATCAGTTCAAAAGAGTTTATTAAATTTCTAATGGTAAGATGTCACACCCCTTGACTCCTTTATGGAGAGGGAGAATTCCTTCTCCCCTTTGTCTCACCCGTTTTGTGGCCTATTTGCAAAGGGTCATTGTATGAGACTGTACATATATGGAAAATGATTTGTTAATCAGCCCTTACTAAGAGCTTGAGACAGTCTGGGTTTTTAAATGGCAAACTCTTCTCTGTTATACATATAAAGTGGCTGGTATCTAGTAAATAATAACTAAACAGATATTAATGCACTCTCCTAGTTTCTCTGACTAATATTTTTTATATGTAGTCTACCAGAAGACCAACTGTAGCTTTTTAAATGTATGTGACATATATCTGGTAGGGCAAGTTGTCTCACACCTATAATTCCAGCACTTTGGGAGGCCGAGGCGGATGGATCACTTGAGCCCAGGAGTTCGAGACCAGCCTAGTCAACACAGCAAAACCCCTTCTCTATTAAATAAATAAATATATATGTGACATATATCCAAGTAGCATAGATGATATTATTTATGATTTTCCCTACACGTACTCTTTATAGATGTCAGCTGGTGAGATTTTTTGGCTCAAGTCAGCCTCATTCTGAGACCAAGTCAGTCAGTCACATTCTGAGACCATTCACAGACCTTCTTGCCTTGTATTGCCACTTGTATTGTCTTACATTGCCACTTATAAGAGGCATGGTAGGTTAAAGTTCATTTAATTGTTACCATAAATGAAATGTAAGTGATTGTAAAAAAAATTACATGATTTATTTCTGAAGTCAAATCTAGCAATTTGGAGTCTTCTTTTTCTATTCTGTGTAACACAGATGTCTTAGGCTATCACAGCTAATAAGGATAGCCTGTGCTTCCAAATTTTAAAGGAATCCTCAAGTGATTACTAGCATATTAAGCGCTTACTAAATGCAGGCATGGAGCTAAGTGTTTTGCATATGTTATTTAATTCTAATTTTAACCTTATGAAATCAGCATCACCATTCCCATTTTATAGATGAAGAAGCAAGTGTCTGTGAGGTTGAGTAACTTTCCCTAAAATGCATACCCAGGAGGTAGCAGAGTCAGGATTCAAACCAAGTGTAGCTGACTCTAGGTCTAGAGTCTTTTCAGCATGATGTGTCCCTACCGCAAACCCCACTGTCTGCCAAACCACCACCACCACCACTATTTCTCCACATCTTTTCCTCCATTGTCAATCTTTAGTAGCTGTGTTGTTATATATTGAAAGCATGAATGTTCACTATCTTACTAAAATGCTCCCACAATCATGCCTCTTTTTGTAGTACCATCCTTCCAGATACAAGTAGGAAAAGTCGCCAGAAGACAAGAGCTGTAGGGAAAACCACCAACCCTATTTTCAACCACACTATGGTGTATGATGGGTTCAGGCCTGAAGATCTGATGGAAGCCTGTGTAGAGCTTACTGTCTGGGACCATTACAAATTAACCAACCAATTTTTGGGAGGTCTTCGGATTGGCTTTGGAACAGGTACTGTTTGCTACATTTTTAATTCTCCATGAGCCAAATTTTTCCAGAGATACTGGAGGTTTGTTTGTTGCTTTGCTTCTTCCCAGTGAAAATTGAGATATCCTGAAAACAGATATCTGTTAAGTATAGTGAAATAAATGAGTAAAGAAATGTCGGATTGTGTGCCAAGGGCTCCAGATAGGAGGATTAACAGGGTGAAGTGTCTGTCCATATAGAGCTTAAGTTATTGTGGCAGTGGCAGGGACAGAAAAGCCTTCATCACTAGTCTGCCCTGTAAAAATATTTATAGTCCTAAATGTATGCTTTGAGTAATAACAATAACATTTATGGAGCACCAGTCACTGTATTAAATGTTTTATTTACATTATTTCATTGAATCCTCACAAGTCTATGAGGTAGTTACTAATGTTACCCCCAAAGGAACTGATAGTTCAAGAAAGTAAGTAACACAGCTACAAAGTGGCAGAGCCAAGATTCAAAACTGAGTCTGTTAGACACTAAAGCCTCAGTCACACTAACCTAGAGCTCATCCAGTGTCATCTCCAACCCAGTACAGGAGTCCTCCTAACTCCCTTATCCCTGATGAATTTTCGTCTGGCCTTTACATTAACTTGAAGAAAAATCATTGCTCTGGGAATTATGGTAATGGTCACAAAAATGGAGTCACTCAGACAGTTGAACAGTTCTTCCTTATATTGAGTTTCACATCTGCCCTCCCAGTGAAGAAAGCGCTTCTTAGCTTCCACTGGTGGTTATAATTGGGTAATGACTTTCCCTCTTTCCCCTACCCTCAATGGGCTGTTTCTTTATAAATACAAAGCTTCCTTTTTTCAGGTAAAAGTTATGGGACTGAAGTGGACTGGATGGACTCTACTTCAGAGGAAGTTGCTCTCTGGGAGAAGATGGTAAACTCCCCCAATACTTGGATTGAAGCAACACTGCCTCTCAGAATGCTTTTGATTGCCAAGATTTCCAAATGAGCCCAAATTCCACTGGCTCCTCCACTGAAACTACTAAACCCGTGGAATCTGATCTTGAAAATCTGAGTAGGTGGACAAATATCCTCACTTTCTATCTATTGCATCTAAGGAATACTATACAGCATGTAAAAGCCAATCTGCATGTGCTTCTTTGATTACAAGGCCCAAGGGATTTAAATAATAACAAAATGTGTAATTTGTGACTCTAACATTAAAGAATATATTTGAACAAGCTAGGAAAATTGAACATCTGCTGCTGCTTCAAAGAAAAAGTTGCCCCAGAGCATTAAACATGGGGTATTGTTGATAAGCAAAATGTTCTTGTTTGCCATCATGTGTTTCACACCACAATTCTGTGCCACAGTTAAGAGGGTCTGGTACCCTTGCAGGACCTTTGTAGGTTGTGGGAAAAAGTAGCAGAAAGATACTCAAAGTGGGGCGCGGAATGGAGACAGAACATCAGTGATGATTAAAAAAAAAAAGTGGATCTTAAGAAACTATTTACTCTGCAATCTCTAATAAAATGCGGAATTCCATGTTAGGACAATGAGACTGAATTTACTGGTGTTTTCTGCCTTGAGAAAACAGGCAGTTAAAACAAGCCTCAAATGTATTTTAGTGCCACCCACTGGCCATAGGTAAAATTCAGTTGTTGGCTTGTTTTGACTTAATTCTAAGATAGATCTCAAGCCTGTATTTTTATGAGTTTATTTTTTTAAAACCCTGCATATATATGATTGTTTTTCTTATAACTTTATTATATGAAATCAGCATAAGAGTAGTCACAAACATGTTTTACAACAAAGTTTTAATTAGAGTGTAAGTTGTTCAGTTATACTGTACTTCTTATGTATGTAAAATTTTCATAAAGTATTTTGTAAAAACCCTTAGAATAAATTGTCATTTGATTTAAATTGTATTAGAAAATTAGCCTGACTTCTCATTTTAAATAAAATATTTTAGAAATTCTAAACATCTAAATTTCCTAACAAGACTAATGAACTTCTGGGCTAATATTTCTACAGTCTTCACTACAGTTCTGGGAATCATCTCCTCTAAGTGGGCAACTTTGGCTATGTTATTAAGAGTAGGAGTTTTATTTTTATTTATTTTGTTTTAAAGGACATAGCAGATCTCAAGGATTTTTTTTTAAGTAGTTAAAATCCTTTGGGGATGATTTTAGTATATGAAGCACATTACTCTTCCTTAGGACCCAACCAGCTTAATTTTCTCAAAACAAGCACTGATTTAATGTAGGTTCAAGAAAGCCTGAGTGACAGGTGAACATGGGATCTAACAACAAGCATCTCATAAATGTCATTGAAAACAACTAGAATACTTGCCTCTCTTCCCAAACAGATACTAAAATCTTCTACCCACTTGCCAATAAGAGCAACTAACCTAGGTCAATGCCCTTTCCATTGTCTCCTCAGGTCTTTTTTTTTTTTTTTTTTTTTTGAATGGAGTTTCGCTCAGTCACCCAGGCTGGAGTGCAATAGCGTGATCTCGGCTCACTGCAACCTCCGCTTTCTGGGTTCAAGCAATTCTCCTGCCTCAGCCTCCTGAGTAGCTGGGGTTACAGGTGCCCACCACCACGCCCCGCCAATTTTTGTATTTTTAGTAGAGATGGTGTTTTACCATATTGGCCAGGCTGGTCTCGAGAATTCCTGACCTTGTGAATTGTCCACCTCGGCCTCCCAACCCAGGTTTTTTTATTAGAGTGCTTAGTCCAGCTCTATTTCTCATTCCTGCTCTGAACTTAAGGAAGGGCAAAATGAGCTAATTAGAGTCACGCTTCCTAGAGCACAGTGGCAGAAGCACAAACTCTGTTCTGGCTTCTGCCACATCATAGTACAAGTGACTTTCTCAGCCTTTCTTTCAGTTACCTGTAAAACCAGCATCTGGCCAGCTCTGGAGCACTAATGAGATTGGCTCCATTATCTCTCCATCTAGGACCAGGACTGCCTGCCTTGTCCTATCCCCCGATCCCTCATCTTCAAAACACCAAAGTGGACAATAGAACCCCCCACCTTCCTTGCATCTATCCACAGCACTTCTGACTGACTCAAGAAGTCCAAGGAGATGTTTCACATGAAAAAGAAAGTGTAAGTCATAAAGTGAATCTCTCCTGGTTCAAAAGGAAGGCCAAGTGTGAGCTTCATGCTTTATGAAATGTAAGCATGGCTGGGTGTGGTGGCTCATGCTTGTAAATCCAAAATTTTGGGAGGCTGAGGCAAGAGCATTGATTGAGGAGTTCAAGACCAACCTGGGCAGCATAGCAAGATTCCATCTCTAGAAAAACTTAAATAATTAGCCGGGCTTGGTGGTGTGTGCCTGTAGTCCTGGCTACTTGGGAGGCTGAGGTGGGAGAATTGCTTGAGCCTAGGAGTTTGAGGCTGCAGTGAGCTTTGATTGTGCCACTGCACTCCAGCCTGGGAGACACAGAGATATTCTCTTTTAAAAAATGTAGGCAACTTGAATTCTTTAGTGAACTCGGGTTGACATGCTTTTGAGCCAGTGTAACTTTTAGGCAAAGACCCTGCTAAAACTTCAAAGTACATTTTTTTAAGCTAGAGGCATTTTCTTGAACTACATATTTTAGGGCTTTTTTTTTGTTTTTTTTTCAGAAGCCCAACTGCAAATAAGCCAAAAAGGAGGATTTATTGGAAATATACTGGGTTAGGTCACAGAATAAATAAGTACTGCAGGAACCTAGGTTATTTTGGGGACCTGCAGGCTGGAACCAGAAACTCAGATGTGATCTCTGTCCTTCAGGGAGTGAGAAATAGCACCTCAGCCAGGTTCAGCATCACAACCTCTCAGCTAAAGCACTTCTTTTTCCTAGGTTCAGCTTGAGAGACCTATGGTGGAAACTGGCCAGGTCTGTCATATGCCCACCTATTGGACCATTCACTGTGGATGGTATAATATGATTCACTTAGCCTGGGTAATGTGCCCACCCTGTGGCCAAAGGAAAATGGTTCGTTGTTAGAAGAATGGGATGTTATATAGACACTGGCGAAATCAAGAGCTAGGCATACATGCAGTTTGTTTCTACCTCAAGTGAAAATATTTCAAAATACCATTATTTTTAAAATGAAGTAAAATTTGTAAGGGTCACTGCTGACTCTTTTCAGAGAGGCCTAAATTCTTCCACTTACCATGACTACTGTAGCTTCTAAGTAGGTGGTGAGGATCCTGGGAACTCCATGGACTTCTGACATGGTCTAGCAGTCCACCCAAAGCATGGTTGCTGTTAACCTAGGCTAGCTTCTTTCAGAGATGCCTACCACCCTTCCCCTCAGCTGTATTTTCAAGGGAACTTGCTTAGACATCTTTTCAGATCCCTGGCATCCATACTGACTATAGGAGTAAAAAGCCCCAAATATCTCCTTCCACTGTACTTTCATTCCCATTCTGCTTTGGGATTGCTCTCTCATCTACTCTCATCTTCACTCTCTCCCAGGCTTATTCACTAGTTTGTTTTATTAAAAAACATGTCCCCATGTACTTGATTCAATCACAGACTATTCCCTCTATTTCTTTGGCTGGCTTTTTCCAAAAGAACTGGTTCTTCTTCAACCTTACAAAAAGAAGACTCACTCTCTCACACCCAGTACCTCAATCAGGATGTGGGATCAGATTTCAGATCATTGCTCCTCTCTCTTCCTGTAAATGTTTCTAAGGCTGTGTGTTGTCCAGCCTTAGAAAGGAGTACAGTGTATCAGGAAGGGAGTACAGTGTAATGGTTAAGTGACCTCCAGAAACAGGTAGCTTGGATTTGAATCTCAGTTAAACCACTTAGTAGCTGTGTGACCTTGGACAAGTTATCTAACGTCTTTGTGTCTCATCTGTAAAAAAAAAAAAAGAAAAAGAAAAAAGAAAGGGGGGACATTGTGCCTACTCTATAGGTGAAAATAAATGAATCAATATAGTGCTCACTTTTGACAGATAGCATTCTGTAAATGTTTGCTGTTATGATTATCCCTTCCACTCATTCTTGTCCTCTACTATCCTTCTCAACTCATTCATTGATGACCCTGGCACCTGACTCTACAGCATATGAATGTTCATCAGACACCCTGGCTTCTTAGTTCCTTGACTTCCTCAATTTGAATGTCCTTAACCTCTATTCCTTTTCAGCCACACAAATCCATGAACTTCCTTGTAACTGGGAAGTTCTACCATTGAAGCATTAAATGTAAACATGCCACTCTGACCAAAATCTTCTATGCTCTCAGCTTTCAGTTCATTATTCTGTAACATTATTTTTAAAAGTCATTGTGGACTCCATCCCTCAAACCCCTATCAGTCATCTCCTACTATCACTCCTCTAGCCAGTCAACCACTCTCTTGCCACTAGCCTCAAAATTTTTGCTTTCTTTAATTTCCACTGTTACAGATCCCATCCCCACATAAATTCAGTGGAACTACCCTGTCCTTGGTGCAAACTGTGGCTGGAGAAAATCACACATCCACCCTGTCTACAATAGAGATGAGAAATAGATGGAGAAATAAAGAGTCCTGGTGGCTTTGCATCTGCAGTTTTGGTTCTTGAGGTCCTACCTGGTTCCTGCCACTCCTGCTTTGACTCTATGAGCTCCTTCAGTGCACTTTCTGTGAGCCAATATATTTCCACTTGCTTAGCTAAATTGAATTGGGTTTCTATTAAAACAATCTTGACTAATATGCCCCTTCCATCCAAGACTGGTTTTGTATCCCTTCTTTGTTCCTTCAGTAACATCCAGTGTTTACCACTGTATTTTTGAAAAGAGCGATGTCTAATTTATCCATGATTACTTTAGCAGTGGTCACACTGAATTGTTGTTATCTGTTTATCTGTCTCTATCACTAAACTGTAATCATCCTGAGAGTTGGGACTTCAATCTTGGATATAATAGTTTCTCAGTCAATGTGAGATGAATGAATGATCAAATGGACAAATGAAGTGTGATCTAAGATCATGGGCTTTGGTATCAAAAAGATCTAGACTTGAATTCTGGCTGTATCATTTATTCTCTGGGTGACATGAGATAATTTGCTTAACCTCTCTGAACCTTGGTTTCTTTGTTACCTGTAATCTATAAAATGTGGATAATAATGGCTACCCTTCAAGAATATCATTAGAATTAAGTGAAAGATGTACAGATAAATGCCCGCTACCTAGAAGAGCTCTGTAAATGGTAGCTTTAAAAGGGAGGGAGGCATGGAAAGATGTGAAGATAAGTGGAGAGGACTCATTGGTCACTACTAGGGAGAGCACTGGTCACCTTGGATCTCTGGGAAGGGAATATACAGGATACTTTCAGGAGGGTAGCTAGAAAAAAAATGATCGAGCAAAGAAGACAACCACAACAGAGAGGAACCAAAGTGATTACTAAACTAAGTTATTTGAGGATAGTGACCGTATCTATTTTATTAATATATTTTTAGCACCTAGCATTGCAAACAACCTTGCAAATGTTTATTGAATAAATGAATGAATATTGATTAGGATCTTATCAGATTCTTGGCCTTGATAAATAATCTATAGATGTATGTTATTTAAAATAATGTAAATATAAATTTAATAGAAATGGGTATTAAAATATATTTGCAAAAAAGAAATATAAGCTTTTTTAAATGTGGAAAATTTAGCTGGACATGGTAGTACACACCTGTAGTCCTAGCTGCTTGGGAGGCTGAGGCAGGAAGATTGCTTGAGCCCAAGAATTCAAGACTGCAGTGAGCTATGATCACACTACTGCACTCCAGCTTGGGCAACACAGTGAGACCCTGACTGGTATTTAAAAAAAAAAAAAGGTATGTATATTTTTTGAGTATTTTTCTGAATTCTTTTCCTCCCCTTTGGAAATATATTTTGTGAATTCACTTTACGATATCAGATAACCATATAATCAACAAATAAAATTTTCAGTGTTTGTAAGACCCTTTTATTTAAGAGGACCATCCTAACTCTCTAGTCATTTGCCTTGAAAATGACTAGATAAACTCCATTTAAGCATATGAAGCTTTAAATTTAAGGAAAAAGACAGAAGAGAAATGTGGAAAAATTACAAATAAGTTTAATTCACATTTTTAAAGTCTTTGGAACTCACTTCACAAAACTTCAATATCCTATTGTTTATGTAGTTGTTAAAATTTCAGCTTAGGAAATTTCCCCAGTCCTCAGTCTTGGTTTCCATAGATAGATAAGAAATTCAGGATTTGAAACATGAGACATTGATCTTTGACAGTGAGGGAAAAACCTGAAACTCTTCTTTCATTTTTGTTTTGTTCCCAGTGAAATCTGAAGCATTTAAAAATTCATCCCATGTCTATATTGACACCCAGGGTTTTTCCTTATCATCATGACTTGGGAGATAGTAAGTCTGACCACCAGAAACTGTGACCACAGGAATAGTCAACTCTTTTCCCTACCCTTAATTTTCACAGGATTGAAATCATCTGAATTTTAAGTTTTGTATTTTGCCTTTTTCAGTTATATTTCTAACATAAGACTTTTCCGTGCGATTAAAAATTACCTATAAATGTAATAATGTTTAGTGGCTGCACAGTATTTGTTGTATGAATGTATCATAATTTTTGTAACCATTCCCCTTTTTTTGAACACTTGGGTTTCCAACTTTTAGTTGTTACAAACCACACTACAATGAAAAGTTTTGAGCAAAATGTTTTATTTCAGATTATTTCCTAAGCAAAGGTCTCCCCAGAAGAATTACTAGTTCAAAAGCCATAAAAATATCTTACTTTCTCAATACCTACTGTCAACTGACTTTCACCAACAGTTTACGAGAGTGTCTATTTCAATATGCCTTTCCAGTCTTGGCTAGTCTTAAGAGAAAAGTTTTTGACTAATTTGATACATGAAATTATGTCTAATTTTAACTTGTATTTATTGGATCACTGTAGAGGTTCAATTCTTGGCCATTTTTGTGAATTGAATTGTTTATTTTTCTTTTTAGATGTTAATGTTTTGTTGATATGCATAAAATCTTTATTTAAAAAATGTAGTGTCTGGGCTGGGTGTGGTGGCTCATGCCTGTAATCTCAGCAATTTGGGAGGCTGAGGCAGGTGGATCATTTGAGGTCAGGAGTTCAAGACCAGCCTGACCAACATGGTGAAACCCCACCTCTACTAAAAATACAAAAAGTAGCTGGGTGTGATGGTATGTACCTGTAATCCCAGCTACTCGGGAGACTGAGGCAGGAGAATTGTTTGAGCCCAGGAGGTGGAGGTTGCAGTGAATCAAGATCCCACCACTGCACTCCAGACTGGGCGATGGAGGGAGACTCCATCTCAAAAAAAAAAAAAAAAAAAAATGTAGTGATGTAGTGTCTGTCATATTATGGATATTTTTCTCAATTTGATTTTTACCTTCCACTTAATACACATTTATGTGAATCTCCCCCATGTGCCAGGCACTAGTCTAATCATCAAGGATGAAATAGACACAGTCCCTGCCCTTAAGGATCTTACAGTCTAACAGAGGGAAGCTGGCAGATAAACAGTGACTGCAATAAAATTTTCACATCCTCCACCAGAAGTACAAATAGGCTATAGTGGATGCACTAAAAGACGTGAGTGGCCAATTGGACATGTCGGGGCCAGGAAAAGGCTTCAGAGACGATTCTTAACTAAGAATAAAAAGCTTTACTAGAGTGACAAGGGACAAAGTAGGAAAGGCATTCCAAGCAGAGGAACACCAAAAGATAGGGCCGGAGATCTGGTTAGTGGATTTGGGTTTGGCTTCAGTAGTTGGGTTTGTCTGAGGAGTAAAATGTCAGGAAAATCCAGTAGAAGAAAGGGCTGGAGAGACCTCAGAAGTCACATAATTTTAAAAATCATACATAACTTTTTGAGTAAGCTTTCCCTTTCTGATCTTACATAATGTTTAACATTAAAAAAAAAAATCCTTCCTAGCCCCAGAGATTTGATGTTTACCTTCATTTTCTTCTAGTTTCTGTTTACATTTAATCTATCAGGAGTTGACTTTGGTATATAATGGCAAACTTCATTTGGATCTTATTTTTTCTGTTTTAATGTTTATATGGTTCACTAAACTTCCTTCTGTAACCTTACTTTAATAATGGGTAAAAACAGGGGGTGTTAAATATCTAATAAAGAGTATTTATGCCCAGGTAGGGACAATGCTAAGGACAACAAAAGAAATTTCACTGGGGTTTGCTATTTTAATACCTAAATACCAAAAGGGAGCTGTGCCAAACATCACGAGTGCAGATATGCAGCCTTTTAGGGTCCTGGCTCTCAGAATACCACTACTACTTTGTATTCATAGACCTCAAAAATTCATAATTTTTGAGGAGCCAACCATGTTTCCACAAAAAGTAATTTATTTACATGATAACTGAAGAGGGGAGAGGGAGGAGAAATATATCATTGCCTGCTTCATTTGTTTACTACTACCAGAAATTAGGTGGAGTCAGGCTTTCTCCCCTGATGCCAGCTGGAGATTGAGTGGGGTTGGCATCTCTCTGCTGTACCGGCCAGACACTGAGACAGTTGACAACTGAGAGCTGTGATTGGTTAGAAAGGCAAAAGTAACCCTACCAGATGGGCTCTGGACTCCCCCAGATTCCCCTGTTGTTACTTCATAACATTCTGAAGACCTGTCCACCAATCACAGGACTCCTTACTGGAAAAACCAACTGCTGGGGAGTGCCAAGAGTCCCTAGCAACGCCCTGCCGCTTTTGAAATCTGAGGGGAAAATACTGTAGTCAGCCCCTAGTGGATGAGAGCACGTATGCCCCAGACAGAGCAGGCTCCCAGGATGGACACCTCGCCCCCTGAAGAACGCTTAGAGAAGCAAAATGAAAAACTGAACAACCAGGAGGAGGAGATGGAGTTTAAGGAACTGGACGATCTGAGGGAAGCCTTGGCAAACCTGCGGGGACTGTCAGAGGAGGAGAGGAGCGAGAAGGCTATGCTTCGCTCCCGCATTGAAGATCAGTCCCAGCTCATCTGCATCCTGAAGCGGAGGTCAGATGAGGCCCTGGAGCGCTGCCAGATCCTAGAGCTGCTCAATGCAGAGCTGGAGGAGAAGATGATGCAGGAGGCTGAGAAGCTCAAGGCCCAGGGTGAGTACACTCGGAAGCTAGAGGAACGCTTTATGACCCTAGCAGCCAACCACGAGTTGATGATCCGCTTCAAGGATGAATACAAGAGTGAGAACATCAAACTGAGGGAGGAGAATGAGAAACTGAAGCTGGAGAATAGCAGCCTCTTCAGCCAGGCTCTGAAGGATGAGGAGGCAAAAGTATTACAGCTCACAGTCCGGTGTGAGGCCCTCACTGGGGAGCTAGAGACGCTGAAGGAGAGGTGTGCTCAGGATGCTTGCCAGGCACAGGCGCGCGAGAAGGAGCTGCTGGAGCTACAGAGCCAGCAGGCCTGCACCCACACCAAGGAGACAGGACAGCTGCGCAGCCAGCTGCAGACTCTCAAGCAGCAGCACCAGCAGGCTGTGGAGCAGATGGCTAAGGCAGAGGAGACACACAGCAGCCTGAGCCAGGAGCTGCAGGCCAGGCTGCAGACCGTCACTAGAGAGAAAGAGGAGTTGCTGCAGCTGTCAATGGAAAGGGGCAAAGTGCTTCAGAACAAACAGGCAGAGATCCGCCAGCTTGAGGAAAAGTTGGAGATAGCAAATGAGGGCAGGAAGCATGCGCTGGAGCGGTTTAATCAAGAGGCAGTGGCTGTGGACAGCAACTTGAGAGTCAGGGAGCTTCAGTGCAAAGTAGATGGGATCCAGAAGGCCTACGATGAACTCAGGCTGCAGTCTGAAGCCTTCAAAAAGCACAGCCTGGATCTTTTAAGCAAGGAGAGAGAACTCAATGGCAAACTCCGCCATCTCTTTCCATAAGCAAGTTTCTGCTTCCTCTGGCCTGCAATTCAGAATTCAAATATTTGTGTCTTAGCATTATGGCAAGAGTAAAGATGATATCCCATTTATTATACTTTTAAGCACAAAAGGCAACTCAAAGAAAAGCTACTTTAATATGATATTGTTGTGATTATTGTAAAGCCATTATTAATTTTCATTTCTACCACCTAGAATACACAAGATTTGCCAGATTTCCTTCTGTGCCTTAGAAATCTTAAATTTACTAGTAGTATCTTCTCCTACCCATAACTTCTTAATTCTCAACCTCAGCTATCTTCATATATTTTAGGATTTTAAATTGGCAACTTCTATGATTTAAGTCAATCTAAATGCAGTGAGATGTGCCATTGTGAAAAATAATTAGCACAATTACCCATTGTAGATAGTTAGGCTTATAGTCTCCCATAGTTGAGACTGTAAGCAAACAGTTATCAGCATAATAGCGTGAATACTTTGCGGGAAAAAAAATTGCCTGACTTTATTTTATTTTGCACTAGCTTGGAAAATGATTGAGATCAAGTTCTTTAATGAAGTGGGTCAATTTTATTCTATATTAGCAATATGATTCAAATAAGTTATATAAAACCATTTTTATTTTTTCTGCAAGCTTAGATAATATTCCTTTTTTTGTTTTCTCAAAAAGAGGATTTAGATGTGCAATAATGCAAATACCAGTAGCTTAATTTAATATTGCAAAATATGCTAATAGACAATTAGACAATTTGGGGTAATAAATCATAGCAGACATGATCTATAGAGTAACTCAGAAATTGTTTTCTGTTTCTATTAGCATTTTTTGTAATTAAGTTTTTCCTTTTTAAAAAAAAATCTAAGCTGAATGTGTATATGTATGCTTGCAGCATTTTTGTAGTAATACCTACATTTTGTAAGAATACTTATAAAAGCATAGTTTTTTATATATATATATATATCTCCATGTAAAGTTCTTTAAAAAGTTCTCAAAGGTATATTTTCTTCCTGTAATTAGGTATTGACATATAAACATTATTATGAATACCTCTCAAAATAGATTGTAATGTAGTATTTTTCTCACCCATTTTGGTGAAGGCTACCAAGTTACACATAATGAATTTACTTAAAAAATATGACTTGGTGCCTTTTTAATAAAACTATTTCCAAGCAAGTGTTACCTTACCTCAGGTAATTTTTTACACCCATTTTTTCACACTTCTATTAAGATTATGCTATTAAATACAAACTTTTCTCGTCAAAATAGAAACCACACTGCCAGCTTCAAAGGACTATTTACTTCCTCCTACAGGTTACCAAGAATCAGAATATAGGAGCTAAGTTAATCATGGATATCCTTTATTGAGCCCATACTATTTATCATTGTGCTGAAGCAATTTGGATGAATTACTTTATTTAATCCTTAGGACTATTCAAGAAGGAAAGTGTGCTCATTTCTATTTTAAGGAAGAGGAGACTGGTTTCGGGAATTTTGCTTAAGGCCAGTTGGTCACTGGAGGAGCTGGGATTTTGATGAGTACAGCACATTGAAAGATAATTTTTGGCGACTGAGTGCCAGGTGCTGGGGTAGGCACTAAGAAGAAGCATAAAGAAGCATGTTTACTGCCCTGGAAGAGCCCTCATACAGTCTAAGGGCAATAATAATAATAATAATAATAATTACATATACTGTGATCACAGGGGAAAGACATAGGTAGTATCTAGCCCTGCCTGGTGGTAAGGGTTGGGTTGGTGGGGAGGACTCCTAGGGATGATTAATTTCCTCAGGTGGAGAAAAGGGAGAAAGGGTTGAGACAGCATCGTGTAGAAAGCATAGAGGTATTTTTAAATGCCCAGAATACTTGGGGGAATCATAGCAGCTGGGAAGAGGAGAGGAGACGCATGTGTGCAGATAAAACTGTAAACAGTAGGTTGGGGCCATAATATAGGGGACCTTGAAAGCCAGGCTGGCCCGTTATATGAGAGAGAGGGAGGGGCGCGAGAGGAGGGGCAAACGTACAAACGGAAGCCACGGACCCAGCCCGCGTTTTCCCATCCAGATCCGCGCTGCTCTGCGAGGGGCCTGGTGCGCATGCGTGCCAACCCTCACGCCGCTCTACCGCTCCTCCTACCTCACGTAACCTGCAAGTCCTTGCTCGGCTCATCCACCCCAAACTGCGGCCTCGTGGTCGTCCTTGGGGCTTAAGTTTTGCGCCCAGCCTGCTGGGAGAAGTCCCATGGGCAGAGGCCGAACGGTTCTGGAACAGGCTGAGGGCCGTTTGGGTATGAATCCCGGAATTCCGGGTACTGGAGTGTGGTCTAGAAGGGGAGTGAGCTCCAGGGACTCCACGTTACGTGGGGGAAGAGTGCGTCGGGAAGATCGCGTCGGGGGAGTAGGGCAGGGGGTAGGGGCGCGTGTCCCCCAAAACTCGGGCGCAGGGGAAAGAGCCCAGTTGCCCTGGTCTGAGGACTGTAGTGTTCCAAGCTGTGCCAAGGAACACATACGTTTGATTCTTATTTGCCGTTTTGTAGATCCTAAGTCGTCAGATACGGGCCATTTAATAAGATTCACCCTAATACCCATTTGAAAAATTTTGAAAGTGGGAAGTGAGAGTAGAAAGTTAAAGATAGATGGCTCTGAAGAACAACCGCAGAAGAGCCCACAACATAGGCCAAGAGGAATGTGCACCTATCATGTGTCAGGTGCTTTTCATTCCGCCCTCATAACAACTCTTCAAGGGAGGTTCAGTTATCACAATTTTACAGGTGAAAAAAAGGGAGACTCAGGGTGACTTGTCCAAAGCCAGGAAGGTTTGGAGAGGCAAGAGTGAGTTTTGAACCTAAGGCCCTGGGTATGCTGCCTACACGGGCCCCCACACCTGGTTTAATGCTCACTGTTGCTGTCGCGAAATTCTTATTAATTTTTTAACAAGCGGCCCCATATTTTAATTTTTGTTCTGGGTACTATCAAGGAAGTAGCTGGGCCTGTTTTCTGGCTCTAAAACCCATGCTCCAGAAGGAGCAAACTCCTTCTTAGGAGCCTTAAAAAGGCATTGTCTTCCTCTGTGCTCCGTGGTACTTTATATTCCACTCTGTCAGTCCTCATATTTAATCTGTGACCCAGAGCCACATCAGGGGATAAGCAACCAGTTTATCTATTATGGTATGTTGCTCTATTAAGTGATGCCTATCACTGGAACAAAGTGACAAAATGTAAATCAGCCTCCTCCAAACTACTGCCTTTGAAATTTAAGCAGACCTATATCCCTGCTGAATTTTTCTGTAACATCTACAAGCAGTAGCTCTCAAATGAAAGCAGAACAGAGATCCTAAAAGCAAATAATGTATGAGTAGTGCCGTGTAGCTGATAGCTGTGACTTTTTGTTACCTAAACTGTGAGCTCTTCAGTGTGCTGTAAGGAACTTGTCTGGTTCCAAAAAATTATGAAAGAGAGCTTGAAAAGAGGAGAGCTACAGGAGAAGTGAACTGACTGGTATTTTCAGAATACTAACTCTGCTTCAGTTAGAGAAAATGAATTCAAGTTAGTTTGTTTCTAGTAAACAAAATATTAATAGAAAATTTTTGTCAACTTGACTGCATATATTAAACAATTATTTAAAGAAAGTTGTTTGAAGGAGTACCTGCCCAGGTGCCTGCAGTTCTACTCAGCCCTCCTTTCCCCAGATACCGATGAGGTAGCTGCGGCTGAGTCAGGTCAGGGATATTCTGCTTTCTACTATGACGAGACCAACAGAGCTGGGCAGACTTCAGATACCACCTCTTTGCCCACAAAGAAAAGAGGACGATGACTCTTAACTGCTCCCCTAAAAGCCTACCCTCCCCCTCCAGACAGCTTGTCTGCCAGTGTCATTGGCCAAAATTGGGTCATATGCAAATACCTCAGCCGAGCATCTTCATAGGGCATGTTGCCAGCATGATTGATTTAGACCAATCAGGATCCACCCTGAGATGGGAATGAGGCCAGTCTGTGCCACATAGTGGAAGGGACTACCTGGCAAAGGCAGGGCTCTGCCAGCAGGAATGAAGGAGGATGGATGTTGGATGGTCCATCAATAGTGCCTTCTGTGCTACATCTGTTTAGACTGCCAGAGCCTTATCAGACAAGGGAGCCTTTTTAAATCCTTAATCACAAGTCTTGGCCTCTTAAAAAAGTTACTGGAATTTGGGGAAGTGGCTGAGAATAAGCTTTTCTAGTTATTGTGTAAATTGGATGTTACTTTCTAAACACTAAAAACATTAAACTTAGGGGACACCTAGAGCTCTACAGATGAGTCTCCCTACTTGATGCTGTTCTCTCTAAAACTTCCTGTTTATTGCACTTGGGAAAAATGAATTGAAGAAAAAAACTTGTTCTTGCACAGATCTGTCTGGTCATTCATTACACATTCAACTGACTACGGTGCTCTCACAACACCCTTAATCCCCAGTCCCACAGAGGGACTCCTACCTTAGCTACTTGCCAGACAGTTCCCACTTAATGCTGTAATCCACTCTTATTTGTACTAGTCTAAAATAATCTTCGTTTTCATGTTTAAGGTTATTCATTACATCATTGTTACAGCAAAAGATTGGAAATAGCTTACATACCATCAATAGGGAACAGGTTATATGAACTATGGATCCTTCACACTGTGGAACACAGTGCAACTGTAAAACAAAAGGAAAAGGAAGATGTTAATGTATTGATATAGAACTATCTCCAGGATATATGCAGAAAAAAACACAAGCTATAGAGCAATATCCATATAATACTATATTCTGTGTAAGGGGGAGAGGAGGAGGGGTATTAGCATGCAAACATTTCCAGCTGCATATATAAATATTGGAAAAAAAGTTGTTATTAGTGGTGTGGAAGCATAAAGGGAATGAGGTGGTCAGGGATAGGAATGGGAAAGAAACTTCTTAATGTATACCATTTTATATCATTTGACTTTTGAACTATGTGAATATATTACCTATTCAAAAGATAGTAAAATTGAAAACAAAAATAAAAGAATCTTCCATATATCTGTTTAATTTCCCAATAAGCTATATTTCTGTTTAGGCGATTCAAAAGCCTGCACATTTTTCCCTCTCCAAGAACTGGGTAGGCACGGCATATTTTAGATAAAGCCAAATATGGCCTGACAGATCTGGGTCAGAACGTTCAGCTGGAAGCTGCTGCTTTCACAAATGTTCAACAACATATGCCTAATAACAA